TGTGAGGCAGGGAGCTGGCCCGAAGACTGAGGCTCCCCTCCATGAGGCTTCCCGCTAACACTCGCCATTTTCTAAAGGCAAGGGAAGTATTAGTCTCAGAAAATCCTTAAAATACAGGATGAAACTTATTTCCAATTTTTCTTCCCAGTTTCCAAAATTAGGTGATCACAAGAAAACTGGAGACAATACCCCCCAACTTTGGTGTTTAGTGTGGTCAAATGACTCTGATAATAATTTCAAGTCCGTGAGAAGAGGTGGACAGTGGCATAGCAACAGTGACCAGATGCTTAGTTTTAGGTTATTGATCCCCAAAGAACACCACATGGGACACCTGCATAATCCAAAGCAGGTGAACTTGAATTCCTACTTGTGTGCATATGTGTGAAAATATTCAGTTCACTCATAAAGATGCTATATATCTAAAGCCTTGGTTGTTTATCTTCAGATCTTGTAAGCATCAGTTCAGAAAACCTGAGACTGAAAACATATTAGACTAGAAGTCAAGTACTAGATCATTAACCATGGCTGGGATGCAGAGCATGTAAACCCTGTTATATGGCAGGAAGAAGGTCTGGTATCCTATACCCAAATGCCTGATGACTTTGGGCACGCGAGTTCAGGGCCAGGCACTCAGACAAAAGGGGAGGAGAATTTCCGAGTTTACAGAGATGAGGTTGGGAGACAGATGGAGGGGCCTGAGCAGGAACCTGCACCATGGTTGTGGTGGGACCCTCTCCTCTCGATTCCATTAGAACTCAATTTGTTCAGTGCCAGTGGATTTCTATAGAAACCAAGGAAAGGCTGAGGTTAGGTTGATGCGATGCAAAGACCAAGAGGCTGAGTGGAAATGGAAACAGGATTATCCATGCTGAGAAGACTGGGATGGGGTTTGGACTTTCACAGTTTATGGTGTTGAACCATAACACCAGCTTGACTATGTCTCCAGGTAGGTAGGAGCTTCTAGGTCACATCCAGGTTGCAGCTAGATGGTATGTTTCTCCCAAAATATTTTAAGCTCTAGCTAATTACCTTTGCAATAGAAGTAGAAAGTCATGCATTGTATCTGCCTATTTAAAAATCACATTCCATATAGCATTTCTTCTAAATGTTAGATAATAACAAAAACTAATCTTTATTGTGATCACAATGTGCCAGGCTCTGTTCTTTTATTATTTTAATCTTCAGTCCAAATTCATGTGGATGGATTTCCCATTATTTCCATTTAATGGATGAGAAATATGAGGACGAGAGAATTTAAGAACATTGTTCAGTGTCACAAAAACTAATCGATATGGCTGGGTATGGCGGTGCACGCTTATAATCTCAGCACTCAGGGAGGCAGAGGCAGGTGGATCACAAGTTCCATCTCAGCCTGGGCAACTTATTGACTTAGTGAGATTCTCTCTCAAAATTTTAAAAAATGAAAAAAAGGTCTGGGGATGTGGTTCATTAAGAAGGCTCTAGGTTCGATTTCCAGTTCCACACATCACCACCACCACCATCATCATCATTACCACCATCATCATCATCATCACCATCATCATCATCATCAGTAGACTCATTATTTGAACACAGGCCATTCCCTGAATTACTGTGAAAATAATTATTATCAGAGAAGTTCCATAATTACCTTCTACACTACCTTGTGTAATGATTACCTTTTAACATTTCTCTTGTCATTTGCATTATATATTGGGTCTAGAGTAAGAGACACCTTCCTTAGGGTGGGTAACTTAGAGAAAATCTTTTCTGAAAAACTTGGCAAGGTCAGTCAATTACCAAATAACTTTTGAGTAATTAGTATGTTCTAGGCACTCACAGTCTTAGCATTCAATACTCATCTTCCACCTGAAATATCATTCTTTTACTCTTGTTTTAGTGAATGTAAAAAAAAAAAACCTTCATTCTCTCAAACTGACTTAGAACAAGAATATTTTGCAAATACCACATTTAAGAGTGTGATTTAAATTATTCAAGGATAAGCTCATTACATCTTGAAGCAATGGTACTTTAATATTTGTCACGAGACTCTTCTGGGTTGAGGCCAGATGGTATTTCTTTTGCAAACTTCATAGTAAGGTAGTGGTTTGAATTTTCTAGCTATTCTGCCTGACACTGGAAAAAATAATGCTGACTTCATACATCTTCTTTATTTTTGTGTCAAGATCTTAATGCAGGATACAAAGGTTATTTTCAAAAAATAAATTTGGGCTGGGGATATAGCTCAGCAGTACTAGCGCCTGCCTGGCAAGCACAAGGTCCTGAATTCAATTCTGGTACCTAAATAAATAAGTAAGTAAATTTATTTTAGGAAAGTAAATTATTTTAGGAAAGTAAATTTATTTTAGGAAAGTAACAGTACTCTGTTACATTAGATCACCACAAGGGATTTTGAAAGAAAATTTGCTTCTGTTATGAAATCTACTCTTCTTCAGTGTGAGACACTTCTCTCTTTCCATTAGAAAGGACTAAAAAGACACAGTATGATTCAGGAATTATCTTATATCAACCCAGGTCAGACGCTGGTTAGTATTCATTTCAAAATTGCCTAACCAGAATCTTCTTTCTTTACTTTAAATTTTTTTGTATAAATAGTTTAAGGAATAATTACAAAAGACATAACTATGTTACTGTCACCTAAGTCAAGGAGAAAAACACTGACAAAATATCCTATGCCCACAGGTGTCCTCCTATTCACAACTCCACCTACCCCTAGAGGGATCTAGACGGAGCTATCATTAGCTCACCATTTGTGTTATTGTCTTAAATCTTATGGATGTATAATAATAATAATAATAATAACAACAACAACAACACAGACTAATTTCACTCTTTCAATTTTAAAAACTAGGGTCATTCTCTAAATCTTTTTCATAACCTTCTTCTTTTGTTCAAAATTCTGTTTTTGTTGTTTGTAGTAAAAACTCCTTTGCTTTTATTTCAAATTCCTCTGGTTACTGGTGCAGTTGAACGTTTGAAGTTATTTTTTAAGCATTTGACAGGGATGTTTATATTTTTTTGTTGTTCTATTGCAGATGGTTTATTGGATAATGTTCTAGGTATCTAATTTTTAACCTTGAGTTTCTCATATAGAATTTTATTGATATCAGTAAGATAAAGACAATTGATTTCATGGCAAGTGTAGTTTTAAAAGGCATACAGTTCTAAATTGTAATTTGAGGTGAATTCAAGGGCATTAATATTTGTGAAACTGTTCTGCACGCTCGGAAAGAATAAGACAAAGGGGAATGACTTCCGCTTCCAGAAAGATGGAGTAGATGTACTTTTCTTATTCCTCTTGCTAGGTTCAACTAAACACCCTGACACAATATGTAACACAAACCTAACAAGACTTGCATAGGTGGAGAAAAGAAGGCAGACCAGGAAGGAGCTCTGAAATCTAAAGAACAGCACAGAGGTGCAATCTCTGAACTGTCCTTTCACATCCACTACCCCAGATTGGTTGCTAGGGAAGTTGGCAACCCAGAGGTGCCCATGAATACAGACAAAAAGAAGCCTAAGAAAAAGCCTGCTCTTCCTAGGCAAAGAACCAAGGAAGGAAAAAAACATAAATGTAGAAAATAAGCTCTTTACTGCAGCGGAAACCAAAGGAAAAGTTGACAAAAGCTCTATGGGAAGCCCAGGCATCTACTCTCTCTAGGTGCCTCAATATACCCGCCACGGTGCTGTTAAGGCTGAGGAGGGAGCCAGAACTTTCATTTGGTTTGGGCAGTAATGAGGCCTCTCTTTTCCATGTGGTCAGTGGGGATCACCTCCTAGACTTCCACCCCTACTCAGCAATAATGAAGTACTCTTCGCTTCTCTTGCCCCCATCCACCTGTGGGGCCAGGAGAAGCCGCAAGGGGGCAATAACCAGGCACTGCCACCCCTCCCAGCCAGGGAAAGGACAGTGCAGGACTAGTGGGCAGCTTGGATAAAGAGCCATCCCTGGGAGCTCAGGTGAGGCTCCATGCGGGCCACTGGTGCAAAGGATAGAAAAGATTTTTCTGGAGAATGAGAGATCACACAAATGAACCTGTTTCCATTTTGTTTGGCTTTCAAAACTCCCAGAACCAAATGTAGGATATCAGAGGATCACAGAGCTATGTACAGGTTCAACACTCTCACCAAAAAAATGTAAAATATGTATGTAATGCTCCAAAATTCAAAACTTTTTGAGTGCTGACATGATGCTAGAGCACACTAATAGATTTTAGAGCATTTTAGATTTCAAATTTTTATATTTGACATTGTCAGCTGGTTAAGTCTGTATAAACATTCCAAAATATAGAAAACCAAAATCAGAAACACTTCTGGTTCCAAGAATTTTGGATGAGGGGTACTTAGCCTCGGTTTACTTTCCATTAACCTGATGTTGCATTCCAAGTCTGTGTGTTCTCTGCCTTTGTGATGGTTTTTAGATGTGACAACTTGGCTTAGCTACATTCCCTAACTTTTCATTTATACATTAATCTTGGTGTTACTAAGCAGGCATTTGGTAGATACAATTAAATCTATAATCAGGTGATGTTAAAATCAGAAGACTATTGTAGGTAATGAGAATGGCTTGATTCAATCATTGGAAAAGCTTAAGAAGAAGAAATTCCACTCCGGGACTTAGAGCTTGCCTAAGCACTCCAGCCTCCCTTTCCTGATGGCCTGTCCTATGCATTTCAAACATGCTTAGCCACCCCACGATTACCTGAGACAATTCTTGGCATCAAATTTCATAATACACTGTATATATTTCCTATCAGTTTTGTCTCTCTGTGAGAGAATCCTATGTGAGTACATATGTTCCTACTTCATAGTTTGCATTATAGTAAATATCTCTAAATCACTGTAGATTGAAGGGGAGCATAAACAATAAATACTTCTATATCTTTTTGGTTAGCCTTTGGATAAAGTTCAACCGTCATGAGCTACCTAAAGGTCTTTATATATCACTAATATTTTTTACTGTCGTAGTAACGTAGTAAATATTACAGATAACAAATTTCTATGGATGTTTTTACTTAAATACATAATATTGACTAGTATTTATGGTTTGTTTTGTAAAGTACTACAACCGTACTAGCCTTGGCTCTTTTGTGCAGTTCCACCCCACACCACAGGCGGCAGCAGAAGCCCTTTCTAGTTCGCGGTTTTCAAGGCAGCTCCTATCTCTGTCAGACCGGACCAAGTCACTGTCAACAAGGGGGCAATCGTCATAGAGTCCATTGACCTATGCCTACGATTACTTTCTTAAGGAATCCTCCTCCTGTGATTAGTCACGTGAGAGCGCATAATAAGCATGGAAACCCCCACCCGCGAAGTGGGCCGGCGCACGGAAGGACCGACTGTCGAGTGCACGGCATGCTCGCACCCCCCCGCTCAGGCGCTGAATGGTGCAGTCCACCTGCTGGGCTCCACCCGGAAGTTGTCGCGGCAGCGCACTGGCGGTGTTCGCTTCTCGGTGGGGTGATCGGCGTTGCGCTGCGTCCTCGGCGCGCTGTGTCCCCGGGTCGGCCGGGTGCATGGGTCCTCACGGCGAGGGCCGGGGCCGGGCTCGGGGGCGCTCCGGGGGCCTCCGCGGCGGCGTCGCCGTGTTCGCCGCCGTGGCCGCGGTGTTCACCGTCACGCTGCCCCCGTCGGTGCCCGGGGGAGACTCGGGTAAAGTATGCGGGCCGCCGAGCTGAGCCGAGCCGAGCCGGGCTGGGCTGTCCGGGTCTGTGGCGCTCGGGCCTCGCCGCGCGGCGTCAGCCGATCCGCCGGAGCGGCCCAGGCGCCTCGCCACTCCCCCAGGTCGTTTTTCTGGGCCTGGGTTTCTATCTTCCTCTCCTCTGCAGTCTGCACGCATTACCGAGCCCTCTGTGTTTCATCCCGGAGGAGTCGCGGGTGTGCTGCAGAGCAGGTGGTGTGCGGAGAGGACGCGCCAGTGCCTGAGGAGCAGCTGTGTCTCACGTGGGGCTGAGTGATGGAGACAGTGCCGGGGAAATGAGACCGAGATCGGGGTGGGTGGGTCAGCAGGTCAGGAAGGGCTTCCCGGAGGCGATGTTTTAGTTGCATATTGAGGAGCCGGCTAGGCAGAATATTTGGAGGGGAACCTTTAAAAAAATGGAAACACAATGCATCTTAAGGCTTGCTGCTTCTATGGGGAAAAATGCCTGGCTCTGAGCCGTGGAAATGATCCGCACACTCGTTCTGTGTTTGAGGCTAGAAGGAAGGTCCTGGTTGTGATTAGGGCTCCGCCTTACTGCCAAATCAAGTGATCCTCCAGGGATGCCCTATGGCCATTAGTTTTGTCTGAGTGGTGCTGTACCTTCAGGCAGGGGATCTGCGCCCTAAACAAGCGCTGTGCTGTGTGTCCCCTCCCAGCGTCTATTAGTCCGGGGCAGTTCTCCCGGAGCGCCCCTTTGGGCGAGGCCGCTGTCCTCCCAGGCTACGTTTGGGAGTGTCTGCTGCTGAGCTCAGTCCAGTCCTTGGCTGTGCTGGTCTCCTTAAGATAGCGGACTTCTGTCAAGAGAAGGCGATAGCGCCCCTGTCTGACACCTGTCATTTTGTACCCTAATCCTGGAAGTGGTATGCCACGGCCCCGTTTTATTCCTCAAAGTCAGTAAGTCCAGCCCAGTTCAAGGGGAGAGGATTACAGCAGGAGTAGGGGATTATTGGGGGCCGTCTGCAGAGCCGCCCACCACATCAAGGACCCTTGATGTTCCATTTTCCAGCTCATTACCTTCGCTTTTTCTTGTCCTGTTGAACAAGTAGGAGTGGTTTCATTAGTGTAGTAGGGACCACGTTTCCAAGATTTATATTACAATGGAAGTAGCTTCGTGTTTGTTTTAACACTGGGAAGCAGTCAGAGCTTAGTTTTGTTTCTTAAAATAGCTACTTAGAATTGCTTGGGCCTGCAGTATAGGGCAGGATGAGGGTGATCACCGGGACTTACAGAGCACCGAACTAGGTGCCAGGTACTGCTCCAAGTGCTTGATGCGGGTCACTGATTTATGCCTTCCATCTACCCTGAGAGGTGGGCAGTGTTATCCTCCAGTTATAGAGGAGAAAACTAAAGCTGTGGCCGAGTCGCAGCAGGGAAGGGCCGGCAGGGAAAGAACTCAAGTAGGTTAACTTGTAGAACATGGTCTTGGAACTTCTACTCTTTGTAAAAGAAAGTTAGGAAATTCTTTGTTAAATCTGCCACCACATACACGGTGATAGTTAAAGTCTGTGGTTGTTAAGCGTGTTTTTATTAATACTACATTTTTTTCCCCAAAACAACAAAGTTAATGTATTTACTTTGAGTTACCAAATTTTTCAAGTATTCTCATCTGTTTAGGTCGATCAAACTAGTGGTTGCTTCTAATTTTTTGATGCTTACTTTTGGGAATGATTAATAAGCTTTTCCAACTACACGGCAATACTTATGGAAATTTGTTTAATTATAGCTGTGGCAATTTTATATGTTGAATGTACTGTTCTCCTTGAATGTTTATGAAATATATTTTCTATCAATAAACAACCCATCTCCAAACCAAAATAAAGCATGTATTCTTCTTCCTGTTAAGTCTTAATTTATACTCCATAAATCCATCACATTGTGTGGCTTGCCACAATTATTTTTTGTTCTACTTGACACATATAGTTCATTTATGAGCAGGAGTGGGAATGTAGTCTTTACTAAGTTAACATGTATGGTGATGTATTTTGAATGCACTGTAGTTAACAGACCAATTTTATGGCACTGTAGTAGTATAATTAACATTTAAAAAGTTAAAGTCTCTGCATGCCACACCACAAAGCTGTGAGTCTTCAATCTGAGTGTACTTCAGAATTCCTCAGAAGACTTGGGCCACAGTGCCAAAGGATCCTATTAGGCCAGGGAGTTTTGGAGTAGGGTCAGGAAATCTTCCATTAAAACAAAGCAACACGATGACCACCAGGTAGATGTCATGTGGGACTTGATTTTGAGGAAACTCCAGTGTGGAGTTGGGTGTAAACAAGTACTTCAGAGGCTGTTTTGTGTTTTTTGTTTTTGTTTTTTTTTTTTTTACTATTCACTTACTCTTTTTCTCACTTTCGAATTTAGAAGCATTATTTCCCTTTAGCTGTTTATTCCAGAGTAGGTACATGATAGGCTTTGAGTAGTGGCATCTTTTCTGTTTGGATTTAAGTTTAACATTTAATAAGAGTTAATGGAAGTTTGTTAAATTGTAGATTTATTTTTATAGAAGTACTAATTTTTTTTCTTAAGACAGCCTCTCACTATATAGTCTGTGCTGGCCTTGAACCTACTATGTAGCCTGGGCTGGCCTGGAATTTGCAGTGCTCCTGCCCTTACAGCCTGTGTCACCACACCTGGCCAGAAAAAGCTGCTTTTTTTTTTTTAAGTGGTAAAACTAAGCTAGAGAAAATCAGCTATTTTTTCTTAATGTTAAGTATAGTTTACATTTTAAATGGAAGAGAATAACAAAAAGCTAGTCCAAACAGTTGGGGGGTCAGAGGACATAGAGCTAACCCACTATGGAGTGAAACTATAAAATCATGTTTGTGAGTAGTTACAAGGGAAGAATTGTTCACATTTTTGGACCAAACAGTTGCCTTTTGTGATGGTGCGTGCCTGTACACCAAACTACTCAGGAAGCTGACTCAGGAAGATTGCAACTTCCATGTCCAGCCTAGGCAACTCACACCTAGCTCAAAAAACTATAAAGAAGGCTGGGGGTGTGGCTCAGTGGTAGAATACTTGCCTGGCCTTTGAGAGTCCCTGGTTCAGTTTCTAGCAATGGCTGGGGTGGGGTTGGGTGTGTGGGGTAGGGTGGGGTGAGGTGGGATTGGGTGGGGGAATAGTACCTTGCTTTCCAAGGGGCTGGCCACTTGTGCTCTTAAGTAACAGAAGGAGCTGCAGATAGCAATATGCATCTGTGGATGCCCTTAGGGGCTCCAAAGGTCTGTGTTCCAGGCTTGAATTAAATTCTTAGTGTGTGGTCGAGGAGGGTGGTGATGTCTTGGCGGGATCCTGGAATGGTGAGATAATATTTTTAAACTTGGTGAGAGAGAGATGAGGACAACGACAAGTAGCCAGAGTACGAGGCCATCTATGGAAGTGCCAGAGAGGCTAGGCAGGTTCTGTAGAGGAGAAAGAAGCGGCTAGTTCTGGTTGGGAGGGAGGTGTGTGAGGAAAGCAGTCACTGAGCAGGTGGCAGTTGAACTAGGCCTTGAAGGATGTAGGGGAGGATGCTGGGAAAACATGTGGGGGAGAAAGTGAGTGAGAAGAGGTGCAAAAGAGGACCCCTCCAGAGGAGCCCTGGGCATGGGCTTTCACTGGGTGTCAGACACAAGCCTGGGACAGGGACTCTGAATGGCTTTCTGAGGAATCTGAACTTCATTCAGTAAAGGGCGAGCAGCCTCCGAGGTTCCACCTAGGCATGGGAACATGTCTCAGTGTGTGGACAAGGGGCGGGAGGGTGGCAGGAGCAAATAATTTCAGTATGAAGATGAGTTAAACTTACCCACCAAGTCTGTGCAGGCCAGAGCAGGAAAAGGTGTAAATTGTAGGTGGGGCAGTAGAAACGAAAAGCAGAGTAGTGGTGTCTATTGAAGGGTAGAAAATGGACGTTAGTACTTTTCTAAATAAGTAATAGTAACTTTCACAGATCATCCATGCTGACTGATTTCTAGCTTTGTACTGCACTGCAGTGTACAGGAAAGAGTCAGAAATGGTCTGTGTTCTCTGGACACTTAAATTGTTAGCAAATAGGCATTGAATTACTGCATCATAATTTTTAGTAATAATCCCAGGAACTCTGTGTAAAGAATATAATGAGTCACTTGTTTAGGAAAATGTACTACTGTAGAGTTTATCAAAAGACCCTAGATGCAAATTGATGATACCGAACATAATGAATGCAGACAAGGACCCAAGGCAGTGTCCAAGCCGCAGGCTTCCACGCATTTTATATGTCCTGAAGTTGCTTGTTCATAGCTTGTGATTATTTCATGGGAGAACACAGCACATTACACTAATGTTAAGTGAAAGTTTTTCTATATGAGCAACGAGAGATGACATAGGAGGGAAAATAAGTTTTTTTAAAAAACCAGAGTTCACCTGTATTTCCACTGACCAGTTATTAAAAGCAATCAAAGACAGTGGCCAGTTATTAAAAATGATCAAAGATAGTTTGTTCAATGAGACCTAAAGGGGAAGTATTCTTAGACTATTTCACGCTGTTAAATCTCTACAGATTTAGTTTGATCCAGTCAAATTAATGCAAAACCCCCATGCAAGCATTTGGATTTTGGAAACTTGGGAGGAGTGTCATTCTGTAATAGTAATTATTGGTTTTACATTATTTTTTCACAGGGGAGCTGATCACAGCCGCACATGAGCTTGGAGTAAGTATTAGTTTTATTGTTTAATCAATGCTCTCATTAACAGTGTTAGGAATTAAGAAAGTTTAATTAAGCATGGAATAAAGTAGATTAATTTATTTTCAAACCCTAGTTTTTAGTAACTTATAAGTACAGTACGTGACAATTTACTAAGTTTTAAATCCAATTAAACTCAATTGTAAAGCAAAGCCTCTACTATATATATGGTAGCTGGCCTATTATCACCCCAAATTTTGTTTAAGCTGTGGAGAATAAAATAAATCGGGTTAACAGTTTTAATAAGTTTATTATTCAATAAACTTTATTATAGTGCATGATCCCTTTAAGCAAGACCTTAGGACTGTCAGCATCGTGGTAATCCGATAGCAGTGTGGTCCTTTCAACTTTCTAGCCAAGATGATATTGCAGAACCTGCTTTTTTTGTCTTTTAAATGACCCTGGTACTGTGAGCCTAGAAAACAAACTGCTGATCAACTGACAGGGAAATATGTCACCCTTTCTCTAGGTAAGATGCTGCATAGTAGACACTGGTAAATCCACTAAGGAAAATATTTCTTTGTACTGGCGCAGGAGCACCACCGTAGGGAACCACCTTCACCCATGCAGTCCTTGTCGCTTTTGACGTGCCTGAGAAGAGGGCTGCTTTTGGATTCAAGCCAGTGTGACGCTCCTGGCCCGGATGCAAACCTTCTAACTTGCCGATTTTCCGTAGGTTGCCCATCCTCCTGGCTACCCTTTGTTCACACTAGTGGCTAAGCTGGCGATGACACTGTTGCCTTTTGGGACAGTTGCCTACCGGGTCAATCTCCTCTGTGGCTTATTTGGAGCAGTGGCTGCCGCATTACTGTTTTTCACCGTTTTCAGGTACAGTAGTGGAGGAGTTAAATTTAATTGTGAGTAATTGGAGATGTGGTTTCTTATGGACAGTTGCAGCCAAGGGTTTCCCTAAGGCCTACGATTTCACCTTGTGACTATACAGTCACGCCGTGTACGTGCGAGCCTGCACGTGATTGCACAGTTGGTGCTGCTTCGTACAGGGGAGTGAAGGCTCTTTGGTTAGGCAGAGCTAATGAGGTTTGTCATTTTAGGAAGATGCAGATGGGCCAGTTTAATCCAGCAGTACGAAGTTCATCGGTCGGTAAATGGTAAATATCATGTAATTACTCACAACACTGCTGACGGGCAGCAGTCCATCAAGCTGGCCTGAATCTGCATGTGTTACATTCTAAATACTCTAAATGTGTGTTGTGTACTTTTTGAAATGAAGTTGTTGGCCAAGAAAGTGACGTTTGGGATGTGGTGTGTTAATGTTTCACTTTGTTCTATGACAGCCCTAGGGAAGGTAAGCAAATTAGCCCTGTTTACTTCGTTGAGGGAAAGCTTTCTTAGTATAGGAGCCACCCAGCTTTTAAAATTAGGTCATTAGTTTAGGATATTGGTTAGCTCATGTGTCTTTGATGTTTTTGTCTTCTTTATTCTTAACATAGTCTAACCAGTGCCCAAGAGGATGATAATGAAAAACACAAATTATGCTTGGTGAAAAGGGAAAAATAAAGCACTTCTTCGAAAAACTTTGGACCCTTTTTGATTTTTAAAAAACCAAATCAGTTTGTGTGTCGAAATAGTATAATTTGGATAGACATGATTTCAAATGTTAGTTTTTAGAGACCAACAGTTGCAGTGTAATAGCCTTAATACTGCCCTTCAGCTAAATTCTTTCCAAATTCCTTTTTAACTATTTATAGGAAGGTAGAAGTTAACATACTTGTAACTCTAAAGTTTACATTTAAATCTATTTGTAGAGAACTTTCAAATTCAAATATTCTAATTGTCGATCATTTACTACATTTTTATCTATCTAGTTTACTTTTATTTAACATTACATGTTTTTAGTGACAGCCAAATCTATGAAAGGCTTAAAATAACATGTCTAGATTGGTTAGTGTTATGCATATATACTCTTTCTAAGTGGTTAGAATAATTTTGATTAGAATTATTTCTTCTGAGTCTTTTATAATTAAGAATTATCAGTATTTCCATCAATAGAGATGTTGATCTTTTCTTCTATAAATATCTTCGTTGAAATTTGGAACTTGATTCGTTCTATTTTGAATGTGTAAATTGTTCAGCTTTACAAGACATTTTAAGACTTAACACCTGTTTTAGTATTTCATCTGTTTTTTAGCTCTTTTATATAGCATATGTATGTATTTAAATACTACATAAACATAAGTGCTTTTAGGCAAATGAAGTGATTCATTTTCTAAAACTTTTCCATGTTTGTTAACATACTGTTGATGCCACACCATATGAGAACCACTATAAGAATTATATACAAAATTTTTTCAGAATCTGAACAGCTTTGGACAGTTCTTTTGAGCTGTGCACATTTAAAATTAGGCTTTATTATGTTGACTGTATGACTTTTAGATAGGCACACTAGCCTGTGACCCTTTTAATATATAGCATTAAAAATATATTTTTATACTTGCTGACATGTGTTTTAAATCAAAATTCTAAAAAAAAAAGATCAAAATTCTAATACTACTAAACAGGGTATTTGAGTGGCTTTACTACTACTTTGGGAAAGTTGCTTTCTTTCCAGAAAGAGATCTAACAGTATTATCTCTCCCATACATTTTACTTTGAAAATACTTCACTATTTTGAATACAAATAATTGACAAGTTACATGTCCTTGGGGAACAACCTAGTTCAAGTGGCAGATCTGTTCTGTCAAACAATAAACGCCCTTGAAGGGAGAAGCCATCTCTATGGTAATAGGACTAACAGTAGCCTATTGATTGAGTGGAAGAAGACGTTATACAATGTCAGCTGGCTTGTTACAATTTCATTTGTTGTACGACCTGAACTTAACCTCTGAAACCTTTCTCCTGTGAACGTAAACCCAACAGCACGACGGTTTTTGTACAGCCATTACTCTGCTAGCTTTTTCTCAGTCCTCGCACACAGTAAAAGCGTTCCTGTCCAGGTTGACTCCTTCACCAGAATCTGTTTAGGAGATAGTTCCCTACTTCATTCATTTAGAGACCAAATCATCGTTCCGTTCTGCTGAATATCAGAGGGCTTGATCTGGGAAACAGCTTTATCCTTTCTTTCCCCCATCACTTAAGAGAACATTACTGTACATGTGGGATTAGTGCTGACTGGTGTGCAGGAAATTAATTCTTTTAACAGGTTTAGGGTTTTTTTTCAGGTAATTGTTCACATAGCATTCACTATATTTAGCTCTTGGGGTGGACATAAAGACCTTCTATACCTTTTAAACAAAGATTATATTTCAGAAGCAAATTTCTGTTTAAATGTGTTGATGTTAAAAGCTCCATTTTTTTTCAGTAAACATGGCTTAGATTGAAAGAACAATTTATTCGTTGTTTCCAATAACTATGTAATTTGTGCTTTTCTTGCTTTTCTCTCTTGCTTTTAAAAGCCATAAGATGTCATTAACACTGCATTTTTTTGTCAATCTTTCCTAATGGTTGCGCAAGAACTCATTTCTATTCGCTTTTCTCTAATGTGGAAAGTATGTGAGTAAAACAGCACAGTGAAATGTGTCACTGTAGTTTATTGAATTAAAAATAGTAATATTCTGGCAGTTTCTGTATTTATTTATGGATTGTCCCCTTCAGGGGCATTTTTAAACGTGCATTATGTTAGAAGAGTTTAATATATTTCCTTTATATGAAATAATACTCATTTAATTTTATCTATATATTTAAGCTCTATAATGAAGTTAGGGATTTATGGGAACTGAGGTTTTCTATTTTAAGACCCTTGAAATAAACAATTTTTAAATTTAATAGTATATTTACAGTGTCATATTCTATTTGAATTTCACAAATCCTATTAATATAAAATTAAAAATTTATAAGTGATATAAATCACAAATATGAACACCACTTAACTGTGCTCAATACTTGCATTTCAAAATTATGTTCTGGAAAACGGAAAGGTCCTGTGTAGTACATGGGGAGGAGTGCTGAGGGCACCATCCTCCAGCATCTCTGTGCTGACATTTTGTATGTTCTGGTATCACTAAAAGAGAAGGGATATCTTGAGAGCATTGCACGATGGTGCAGGGAAGAGTTAACTTGCTTATGATCTCAGATGACAGCATATCTTAATTATTTTGGTCGTTACAGGACAGGGAATATATCCTCGACAGGCTTTATAGTCAGTGTATCCTTTTCAAACTATTCGTGGAAAGTGGAACTATGGAAAGGCAGAAGGAGGATAGCAAGTTTGAGCCCAGTGTGGGCAGTTTAGCAACTTAGACCCTGTGTCCAACTAAAAAAATACAAAGAAGGGCTGAGGATGTAGCTGAGTGCAAAGGCCTTGGGTTCAATTCCCAGGAAGTACAAGAAAAAAAAGTTTGTTTAACATTTGTGAATTGAAAGTAAAACTCTTAGTTTTTATCATCAAAATTTAGTGTATTTTTTTAAGTAAGGTAAAGTCACTATTTAATAAGCAGTTTTTCAGATTTCTTTTTCTAACAGGCACTATTTCTGGAAGCTTGCATAAAAACACTAATACCACTAACATTGTATAGTAAAAAACCATATCTCTTAAGGTCAAGTAGGTTCCCTAGAATATATGAATATTAATAATTAAAA